ATCACCTCTCTTGACCAGCTGGTTATACTGTGTTTGACGCACCCCAGGATGCGGTTTGCCCTCTTGGCTGCTGGGGCACACTGCTGACTCATACTGAGCCTGCTGTCGACCAGCACCCCCAGATCCCTTTCTGCAGGGCTGCTCTCCAGCCACTCCTCTCCCAGTTTAGACTTGTGCCCGGCGTTAACTCTATCCCAGGTGCTGAATCCAGCATTTGTTCTTGTTAAATTTGATGTCACTGATGATTGCCCAATGCTCCAGACTATCCAGCTCTCTCTGCAAGGCCTCTTGTCCCTCAAGAGAGTCAACAGCACCTCCCAGTTTGGTATCATCAGCCATGAACAGAAAAGGTCAGATCATTTTCCTTACAAATAATAACACTTTTTTTTTTCTCAATAAGTTGTTTTCCAGAGACTAAAACTTTTTTTTTTTTTTTAAACCATGATAGGGATGCTTTACAGGAATTATGCAGGAAGTAGACCTCCTTTTGTTAGGTGCTTGCTGACTCAGCGTTTCTGATCAGTGTGCGTAAGGATCATTTTTTGTTTTGGTAAACCAATCTGCAAGCTGTGTATCATAGAATCATAGAATAGATTGGGTTGGAAGGGACCTTTAAAGATCATCTAGTCCAACCCCCCTGCCATGGGCAGGGACATCTTCCACTAGATCAGGTTGATCAAGGCCACATCCAACCCAAGTTTGAATGCTTCCAGGGGTGGGACATCCACAACTTCTCTGGACAACCTGTTCTAGTGTCTCATCACTCTCATTGTAAAAAAGTTATTCCTTATGTCCAGTCTAAACCTACCCTCTTTCAGTTTAAAACTGTTGCCCCTTGTCCTGTCACTACAGGCCCTGGTAAGAAGTCTCTCTCCATCTTTCTTATAAGCCCTCTTTATATATTGAAAGGCCACAATAAGGTCTCCCCGCAGCCTTCTCCAGGCTGAACAACCCCAGCTCAGCCTTTCTTCATAGGAGAGGTGTTCCAGCCCTCTGACCGTTTTTGTGGCCCTCCTCTGGACTGGCTCTATCAGGTCCATGTCTTTCTTGAGCTGGAGACCCCTGACCTGGATGCAGTACTCCAGGTGGGGTCTCACCAGAGCAGAGGAGAGGGGGAGGATCACGTCCCTCGACCTGCTGGTCACGCTTCTTTTTCTGCAGCCCAGGATATGGTTGGCTCTCTGGGCTGCAGGTGCACACTGCCGGCTCATGTCCAGTTTTTCATCCACCAGTACGCCCAAGTCCTTCTCTCTAGGGCTGCTCTCAATTCATTCATTCCCCAGTCTGTACTGATACTGGGAATTTCACTGACTCAGGTGCAGGGCTTTGCACTTGGCCTTGTTGAACTTCATGAGGTTCACATGGGCCCACTTTTCAAGCCTGTCAAGATCCCTCTGGATGGCATCCCTTGCCTTTAGTGTATCAGCTGCACCACTCAGCTTGGTGTCATCCGCAAACTTGCTGAGGGTGCACTCAATCCCACTATGTCGTTGATGAAGATATTAAATATTATTGGTCCTAATACAGACTCTTGTGGGACACCATTCATTACTGGTTTCCACTTTGACATTGAGCCATTGATTTTAATTTGTTAGAGAAGGCCAACTATCCAGTTCCTTATCCATCTAACAGTCCATCTGACAAACCCATATCTCTCCAATTTAGTGGTAAGGATGTTATGGGGGACCATACCAAAGGCCTTACAGAAGTCCGGGTAGATGACATCTGTAGTTCTTCCCTTGTCCACTGATGCAGTTACTCCATTGTAGAAGGCCACTAGATTAATCAGGCACGATTTGCCGTTCGTGAAGCCATGTTGGCTGTTTCCAATCACCTCCCTGTCTTCCATATGTTTCAACATGTCTTCCAGGAGGATCAGTTCCCAGGGTCCTCCTTTTGTCCTTTTTAAACATGGGTGTGATGTTTCCCTTTCTCCAGTCACTGGGGACTTTCCCTGACTGCCGTGACTTTTCAGATATGATGGAGAGCGGCTTGGCAACTACATCAGCCAATTCCCTCAGGACCCTGGGATGCATCTCATTGTGTCCTGTGGACGTGAGTATGTTCAGGTTCCTCCGGTGGTCCTGAACGTGATCTTCTCCTACCATGGGAGGGACTTCATTCCCGCAATCCCTGCCTTGAAGTTCAGGGGCTTGGGAGATGTGGGAAGAGAAATTACCATTGAAAACTGAGGCAAAAAAATTGTTGAGTACCTCAGCCTTCTCCATGTCCGTTGTCACCAGCTCTTCTGTCTCATTTACCACGGGGAGTACATTTTCTTTAATCTTCCTTTTCTGGCCAATGTATCTGTAAAAGCCATTCTTACTTTTCTTTGCATCCCTTGCCAAATTCAGTATAGCGATAATCTGTCACAATTTGACTAGTCCTCGAGAGAAACTTTGTCTTTACTAGTAGCTATGGAAATTGCACCTTCCTGCAGAGTTTCATGTTGTGAAATGAGCGATGTCATATAGTTAGACTTGGATTATTACTGAATCTTTCAGTAAGCATGTATCCCAAATCATGGACGTGTTCCTGAGTGAACATGCTGTGATAATTTTAAAGGGATAACTTTTGTATTTTAACATTCAGCTATATGCCTTATTCCACTTTTAAACCTACAAATGTTTTTCATACATCTGCATTTATTTTTTTGTGCTTTGTTCTGAATTGTGGGTAAAATATGCCTTTGAATCACACTTGACTCATAATAAGCCAGTTTTGCCTTTCTGTAAGCTGCTATGGTAGTTGAAAGCACAGAAAAAGTTTGAAACATTAACGTTTCCTTCTGTCCTTTATGTTTGCTGCAGCCTAAATCACGTTCACCTGCTTAGTCACACATTTATTATTGTAGTAAGGAGCATTTCAAGGCTATAGTCACCAGGACATCGTAGTAGTCACTCAGCGAGAACTTCTATCTGTTTCACAAAGGTCTTTTTTGAATAAGATCAATACTATATTTGTGCAGGCTTTTTGGCAGTGTGAGTCCACATCAGATAATTGGTGCTATCCCATGAGGGGTTCACAAGCTATTCATATCCCCTGTGACACACTAATTTCCACAAGAACTGGGAAAAGAGTTGCTGCAGTTTTGTTTGTTTGTTTGTTTTAAATAAACTGGAGTGCTGTCCCACACTAGCCTGCTCTGTTTCCTCCTTAGCTAGCTGAGGCAAGGAGGCAGCAAACTGAAATTCCTTGGCTGAGCAAGGGTGGTAATACAATACCACAGAAGCATTGAGTCTTTTTGTCTTCTGCTATTATTTCTATTACTGG